AGCTATAAATCTATTCTTGTCTCAATATATCCACTTCAGTCAAAGTAAATTTTATGTTTCTATAACTTATATATTTTCATATTCGTCCAGGCTAACTCAATAGGAATCAAGATATAGCATCTCATAGGTAAAGGAATTAGAATAAATTAGTGGTTGAACAAAAAAAATTGATACTCGCACGCCAACGTTCAAAATATGGTTTTTGATAATGCTTTTAGTAGAAAAAAGAAAACTCCGAAAGTTAATAAATCATATCACGAAGTCACAAGGAACTAAAATCTTACAGTAGAAAATATTAGTTATCTCTTCAGATTTTGAAAAAAAATTGGTGAGAGACTTTCAGTAAAATGTTCATATTTTTCTAATGTAAGCCGTTATTAATTTCAACTTCGCATGGATCGACAGAGAAGAAATGAAGCTATATGTTCATTATATTATCCTTAAGAAAGTATATTATTTTCAAAATAGATTAAGATCACTTCAAAATTCAGGATATATTCAAGAAGAAAACAGGCTGGAATTTTTCATCGACTTTATAAAAAGATAGATCAATGTCGACTATAGCTAGTGCTAGAACTTGATTTATCTCTCTGTTTTCCTTGTAAAGTTATTGAAAAAATGCCCACAGCTGCTTAACTCTGAGATGGACATTGGTCATTGTTGTTGGAGAAGATATTAGGCTAATGAATCGGCTTCTAGGCAGCACATGATACTGCAAGGAAACTGGAAGGTAGGGGTATTCTTCCTTCTTCTTATTCATGTTTTAGCAAATAAACTATTGAACAAAAATTTTAGAAACTAGAATTTAAGCAGATGCAACCAAAACATGTGCTTTGTTTCTAGGCACTATTTGTGAATGATTCCTAACTTTTCTTGTGCATAGAAATAGTCATTGAAATCAATTTGTCATAAAAACAAAATAGAAGTGAGAATAATCGAAACGAAGCAAAATATGCAAGTATATACACATGCATATTTTTGATTAAAAAAGAATGTTGCGATTGATGATTGATCTTTCTTTTAGTTTTTTGTTCTGTTTTGATGGAAGAAACATTTAATTAATAAGTAAAAGGAATTAATCTTTGAACTGTTTAATGATAAATTCATCAAAACACTACTTTGTCTTTTCTTCATGAAATTTTGTTTCTCACAATAGAAAATGATCATTTACAAAATAAATTGTAAAAAGATTTTTTCTTTGATAAAACAAAGCCCATATGCACTTACCTTGAGATATTTTTGCGCTTAGAACTTTTCTCTTACCGCTAAGACAAAAAAATATATTTTATTTTGTCTATTCTCGAGTGCTCTGTTGATTTTTTTCGGCTTGGAAGTTTTACTGAAACAAAAGATTCGAAACTAGTTCAACCTTTTTTGTTTGCTTCTCCAACAGTTAGTTAAAGTGGTTCACAATACCTTGCATACAATTGATTTATTCGTTTTTGATCATTTTCATGAAATCAGTTAAATCAGTTAGATATATATTGAAAAAATTAACACGCATGTGGCGAGATAATTGATAGGTTTTATTGGTAAAAACCCGTTTAATGCCTATGAATACTTTTCTCTTTCTTCCTTTATGCAACATGTGTTGTTACATACGCATGATTTACTAAAGGAAAAGAAAAAAAACAGTAAACGGCATCCTATATCATTGTTATTTTTCATCTGCCATGATTCAAAACTTCAACAATAAACTAGTGTGTGTTTATTAAAAAATCAATAAAACTTTTTCCTCCGAATTTCTACCAACTAAATAATGACATTCATATTATAACTTTATTTTTCTCCTTTAGAAAAACGGAAGCTTCATTAATGTCTGTACTACCTCCAACTTTAAAGACTGATCAAAATCAAATAAGCACTAGTGAAAATGGTAAAACTAGAAAAGTAGCCATACCAGCGACATCATCATCATCATCATTGGTACAATCATCTTCTTCTGAAACCTTGAATTCTGATGCTGATATTCAAGAAATATATAATTATGCAAAACTCATTCGTGACTGGCCAGAAGTATCTAGTGCATTAACAGCACATCCTGAGTGGTTAACAAGAATTCCTGATAGTTTGTTAACAAAAGTATTTAAATAAAATAATAAATAATAAAAATTAAATTCCTTCTAGATCGTCAATGGGCAATATTACATCAAATAGTTTATTCTGGTGATGTAAAACATTTAGATGAAGCTCTTTCATTACAAGCAACTAATAGTGACTTTCGTCTTTTATGTAGAGGACGGGACGGTAAAACTGTATGTGAAGTTGCTGCTGAACGTGCAAGTATTCATCCAACAATGTTACAGTGTATTGAACGACTTGTTGCTATTGATGAACTATTAGATAATGCTAAAAGTCGTAAATGGGATTTAGTAAAACAATTTATTACATTACAACCAGATATTGTTAATGAAAAATCACCATATCGTCGTTATTATTTAATACATCATCTTGCTTATGTTGGACAACTTGATGTATTTAAAGATTTAAGTAAAATTTGTCATTTTAGACTTGATTTACTTGCTGGAAATAAAACAATCATTCAACTTGCACGTGAACATAATAAAATAGCATTTGCTGAACATATTGAAAGTCTTCGAACAAAATCAAATGAAATAACTGAAGATAAATCTGATCAAACTATATCATCACAATTAACAGGTATAAAATATTATAGTTCAGATTTTTAATGAAGATTCTTCTATATCATTTATTTTGAAAAATATTAATTTAAAGAATAACGGATTGGTCACAATGGATAGTTAACTTTTTGTATTTTATTTCTTCATCATCTAATACCTTTTATCGAAAAAACAAAATACATGAAAAGATTCAGTTTGAAAAGCTCTATGATTCACATAAAACAGTTTATTTTATATATGCATTTTGGGTTTTCAAAATGAACAAAATTTTGTGCGACCCATTTTCGACGCTGCGGACAAGATCATTTGTCTATATACGATGAATCGCTCTTCTTACTTCAACATTATTGTCGCATACTTTTTAACCTTATTACATTAGGTAGATTTTGTAATTGTTTAGCAACTTTCATAGATATAATTTGTGATTATGAAGTTCGTGTATCTCTCTAATAATTAACAATAGAGTCAGTAGTTAAAAAAAATATAATCAAACCACATAGCAATTAGTATGAAAATGATCCTCGATCAAGGCATTGGGTATGACTCATTTATCGAAGAAAATAAGAAAAGACACTCGTCACACTCGAAAAAAAAGTTTTCACAGCATCGAAATATGATCACACAGAATTTTATCTATTTTGAAAACTAGCGGATCATATAGAAAGTAACTTTGTATTCTAGATTGTAGAGCTTGTCACGCTATATCTTGTATCATATTTTATGCTTTAACAAAACATTTTCGATAATTAAAGAACAAAATACAAAACGCCAGCATTCCAGCTGACCCACACCTTATACTTCCAATAAAAAAGTAATGCATCACAGAGACTAAAACGAGTTAGAAAAATGGCGACTCGGCCTATATCCCTAGAAGTCCTGACTCGATGCGAGTCGAGCCGAATCGAGTCGATTTGTCAAGAACTGGACTTATTTTGGTTTCTCCTCTTCATTAATTGTCTGCACAACTATTGTTATCAGAATGTATAAAATCCTTTTGTCTTAGGAACCACATGGTTTACTCGAGTTCTTTTACAAATCAAATCAATAAAATTTTTTTCGGAGTTTCGGGCAATTGACCGTTTGCTTTTCATTTTATACATCAATGATAGGTTTACTCGTGGAACACGTTGTGCCTGAAGCTATCAGATGTGAATGACAATTATGCATATGGAATAAATGAAACAGATGAGTAGGTAGCCGACTAAGATAGTATCGCATGGTCATTGAGGGAGCTAGCGATTTGATTCGAGCAAAAAGATTTCATAGTACAATGTTATGATTTTCTCTCTCGATCAGACCATATTACTGCATATCTTCTCTCTATTTTGTTGATTTATTTCGTTTTTTTCTCGTGTGATGTTACCGTTCCGCGTTTATATGCTCTTTCTTCCGATTCATCTGCGAATATATAGTTCTTTCACTTTCTCTCACTCTTTAGATGTGTGAACAGCCGTAAGATCCCAGGTCATTATTAGGATCTCCATTATGATCAGTTAGTTCACTGTCGTACGCCTCCTGTATTTCAACACCGTTTTCAGTCGGATATCACTGTCTATGTTCTCCAGGTTCGCTTCCAGTTTTTTCTGTAAATAGTCAGTTTTTTCCCAATAAATGGAGTTTAATGGACACATATACTAAGATACAAGTAGACCAAAGGTTTACAGGAGGCAAAAAGCAAAGTACAAATTGCTACTCGTTTCATTTTCAAGTGTAGACATCAATTAAAGCATTATGTCGATCTCTTGCAACTGTCAACTGAGAAAAAATTAATTGAAGTGTCTGAAGAGTCGAGTTCTGCAAGTTTGACTCGACTCGACTCGGTTTCGGTCTCTAATGCATCATCCTATTCTAAAAGTGATCATTATTATCTTCATCGTACAGCAGATAGTTATCATTAAGTAATAATTGATAATCAGTTTACAATGCATGGTTTCTATTAAGGTAAAAATTCAACAACTATGCCACAGTTAGCAACAGCAAATAGTGATCCCAACCTGAAAAATGATTATCACTATGCAACAAATAGTCTTTATCAAAGTGGAAATCCAACAACAGATAGTTGTCATAGCGTAATAATTGATAATCACTATGCAACACATAGTCTTTGCCAAGGTAGCAATTCAACAACAATCCCAAAGCCAATAACAACAAATAGTTATCCAAACGGGACACATGATGCTTACTTTGCAACACATGATCTCTATCTAGGTGGAAATTCAATAACAATTCGAAAGTCAATAACAGCAAATGGGGAGCCCAGCTTGATAAATGATCATCACTATGCAACGCATAGCCTTTATCAGAACTGAAATCCAACAGTAACATAATAAGCATAATGTAACGAATAATTATTATTATTGTGTATGACACATGTAGACGATATAGTTGCTTTTTCTATTCTTCCATCTTTCAATTCAGTCTATAACTTGAGAATTATCTTGTGCAAGAGTATAGGTGGGTGTGGGTTGTGGATTTGAGATGGGTGTTCGCGAAAATAAGGCCCATATTCTTCAAAAGTTTCAATATTCAATCTAATCTTATATAAAAAATTATGAGTGTGGGTGAGAGCTGACACTGAGATTGTGGTCTTCTTTCAGTGCAAGAAAATATATATTATATGCTGTTGTTACAGAATTTGTTTAAAATTAAGAATTAAATTAATATCTTTTTGGTATAGTGACGTAGATATGTCATAATATCAATATCATCTGTTATTGAGAGACTAATCTTAATATTAGTTACACAAGAGAAACTACCGTCATCGACTATTACACTGCTCGATGAGGAAAACTTATGAGTCGCATATTTCGTCAGGCAAGGACTATTTAGTCAAAGTGTCGTTTTTCCCATAAGGTTTAATCAAAGGATTTTGAAATCTAGGAATCCAACTGGAGAATTGATTTTTCAACATTAGTGGACTTGGTTTTTCTCAGTACACTACATTTCCATTCAGATTACTTAACCACAAAGTCCTTTAATCAAATTTATACAAAACTGATATTTTAGCACAATAGCGTTTCTCTAACGAAATGTGAGATTTATAAGTTTTTGTCAACCAGCAGTGTAACTTACCCATCGACCGTAGTTCCCCTTAAATAATTAGTGTCAATGTCAGTCGGTCAATAACGATAGATCAATACCATATTAGTATTGTGACATATGGATTTGGACGTTTTGTACATTTACTGTCATCATTTTCAATAAAAAATCTTTTTAGAATTCTATGACACAACATCTACGAATACATTACAGATATCGATATATTTGAGCGAGCCGTTATGGTTCAACGGCTACATGTTCGGCACATATCCACAAAGTACAATGGACTAACCTCAAAATTAACAGTCATGAAATGACTCTGGACAATTTACTAACAGCTATTTGTCTCAGATTACTCGTCGAATAGCACACTGGCAACGTTATGACATACATCTACTCTTGTGCCTAGTATGGAGAGCTCAAGCAGTTTTGCGCAAGAAGTCTGCGTCAGATTGACTGTGTTCCAATAGATACACACACTGCAAGGTAGCTGAATAATGATAGAGTTATTTTTTCTTCTTCTTAATATTTGAGTAAATCTGCTCTTTGCAAAAAAAATTGTGAAAATCAGACCTCTAATAATGAAAATCCTCTCTGTGCTCTTAGCTTATTACTGCGAAGATATTGCAGTTTTTATGGTATTTTTAAGATAATGTCGTGGTCCTCATTAGAAATCGAATTTTCAAATTTCGACTTAAAACTTTGCATAGAGACAGGCTTTAACGAAAGTATTTTTTTTGCGCATGTTTCAAATCTTGTCGATATTCCTATCCTAGAATATAACTATAGTAATACTGTTGTTTACAACACTCAAATAAATTGACAGATTTGATGTTATTCTTATCTTAGAACAGAAGCAAATTAAAAAAACCTGGAACTTTCACAAAAATTATCCTTATTAAGAACTATATCTATGCAAAGTTTCAAGTTTGAAATTCAAAAGTCAGTTTTCCTGAAATCAGTATTCATAGTTTATTTGTGTAGACACAATGCATACTACTTCAACTCAAAAACAATTGATCAGTAGAAGACCTTCCCTTGTAGGAAGCGCATGCCAAAAAATACGCTTTTTATTTAAAAAGTATTTTGTCAATGATTTCTAATTTTGTTTTGCTTATAGAAATATTCATTTGAATAAATTTTCTTGTTTCAAAAAAAGGAAGTTGGATTTATAAATATATAGTTTATATAAAGTATGACATTATTTAAAATCAGTATTAATTTTATAAAATAAGTACGTTTTATATTTTTAGTTTGTCATCATAGATTTCCTCTAATCTAAAATATTGATGAAAATGTTTAGTCTAAAACTAATTTTTTTTTTTGTAATTATATCTATATTTAGTTCATAGTAAAGATTAAAAACAGCACATTTTGTAACAAAACTTGACTCGAATCATATCACAAAGCATTCATTCGTATTGAACACAACATAATAATAAATATAGATCTGTGTTAATGAAAAAACTGAAACATACATGATAGGATGATAGAATCTTAATTCAATACTTCTTTAAAGTATCTTTATTCACTTAACGAAAGAAATAGTAATACTTAGAAAAAAGATACAGATGATTTTTGAATTCTTATCTAGAACATAATAAATACGGAAACTTCGGATTTAAATCCGAGAGTTATGTGTACTTCAAAAAGTGAATCATACAAATCAATCATCCTAGACTGTCTTAATATCAAAATTATACTGGGAAATCTACCATTTAAAATGTTGATTTATATTGCGCGTTGACAAACCAATAGGATATGAGATCGAATCCAGCTCAAGTTTGA